TGGCTACCTAAAATCTTTAGCTAAACAACCAAGGCAAAGTGGACCATTTGGCAATTATCCTCTGAATCAGGGATTGCCAATGAATAGCTAGAGGGCCCAGGCAGATAACTTGAATGAGTGAAGCAGGAAGTGTCTGAGTGCATACCTTATGAGTAGAGAGGATTCAACTTCACAGGGGAGCTTACAGGTTCTTAAAGTGTGCCACTGTCACTCAGCTCAGCCAAGTGCTTGTGCCCAAGAAAACAGGCTCAATATTGACAAATCTGATTTTTTTCAAAGGTGGTCAGAAATCAGGAATTTTATTTGAAATCTCCTGATTTATAAATAGCTAAAGTACTTTTAGAATGCTGTTTTGAGGTTTGCCACCAAAATATCTACAGTTCCTAAAGGACAGAAAGACGTGAAAAGTGATTTGGCAAAAACAGAGGACTGGGGCCAATATCATACCGGCACAATGGAGGCCTGGGGATGGTGCCTTGAATGGGTGAGGTGCTTTCTGTTACCTTGTTGCTCTCTGCAGAAATTTCCCCTAAAACACAATTCAGCTTTAATTCCATGAAGGCTCACTGGGAAGAGAATATATTAACAGCTGAAAGGAAAGACCCTCTGCTGCCAAGCACCTCTTGGACTGGGAGATAACTAAGGAGAAATGAGAGCAAGTTTTAGAAGTGAATTTCTTATTATTTGTTTGAATACTTCTGGACATTTGTGGAATCACCAGGCATATTTAGAAAGCTTATAAAATTTGGCCATGACAAACTCATTATTTTTTCTCCCATGTCAGGAGGCACAGAAAGACCTGCCAATTTGTTCAACGAACATTTACTGAGCACTTACTATGTGCCTTGTACTGACAGGGATTGGAGATGAAAGCCAAGTATGAAATGCTTGAAGTCTAATGGGAGAAACAGACAAGTAAACAGATTATTAAAGTGAACTGTGGAGAAGTGTTATGAGAGTTATCAGCTTATGAATGGCAATGATGAGTTTGCCCAAAATATCTAATCCACAGAGGGGAAACCATAGAAGGCTTCCTGGGGAAGAAGCAGAGTCTAAAGAGCAAATAAAACCTATAATCTTTATCTAGGGCTTACTCTATGCCAGGCACTGTTCTAAAAGCTTTATGTTTATTAATTCATGTAAATCCCCACAACAACTTTAATGGTATATACACTTCATGTTATCTGCATTTTACAGATGAGGAAAATGAACATAGGAACTTGCACAGGATCACAAAACTAGTAAGAGTCACAACCCAGATTCTATGTTCTTAACCCCTACATATTATTTGCATGTGATAATAGTTAGCAAAGACTACAATAATCAGGACATATTATAAGTAATTATGACTTGATGATATCACTGGGTTGGTGTATGGGCCTGAGGGGAACACTACCGAAACAAGTACCCTATCTGTTTACTTACTGCGCAGGACAGCTTCAAATGTAAGAGAGCAATTCTTTCTAGATTTAACCATATTCAGAAGAAAAGTTCTAGATATGTTATGACTATTTTACTTTTTAGAAGTTAGCATAGCATTAGCTGAAGTCACCTAAAATAGTCACTAGTTTGATTTCTTCATACCACTTTTTTTTTTTTTAACAACTACATGTAACTTTCTTGCCTGCATCTTTTATAGTCCTATAGACTTTTATCAGTCCTTTCTTTTATATTCTCTATTGAGCCATCTGACCAGGGGTAGAAGATGAGGTAGACAGATTAGTTGACAAGGGTTAGGAAACACCCTTCCACAGTATCTATTATAGGTCTTTTCTTTATAGCTTAAATACTAAATTTCTTAGGTCATTAGGTACCTAGTGTCAGCAAGCAGCACGTATTCATCTGAAAGACTCATTTATCAAATGTGGAAGATCTTTCAGTCAAGTTTACGTCCTATCTCAGCAAGATATGTGTGTGGTTTACTTGTAATAGAAAGACAATATTTTATATTCAAGTACCAGATTCCCATGAATGTACACCGTGTGTGTGGATTATAGCCACGTATATAATGATTAGCTTAGATTTTAATGAAATATTTCAAGACTTCAGAGTTAGTTAGCTGACAAAGGTGACTGAACTCACAAAAGCAAGGCAGTGACAAACTTGGTTTATTAACCACACGTAGAATAGTGTATTGGTCCCATATAGGCTTTAACTTTTGGAAACCACTTAACCCTTAACTCTAGACAATCTTACATGAATAAGGAAATCAATACCTAACACAAAAGGATGAACATAATTTTCTTTGTAGGACATTTTCCTTAATGTCTTAAATGATTTAACTGCAATAGCTGCAGTATTCAAATTTAATTTTCAAGCATTTATAAACATTTAATATTAAATGGATTAAAAAAAATTATACTGCAAACTGAAACCATCAATTTATTCTATAACCCAGCTCCTATCTGTTACAGGGATGCTAATCTCCAAAATTATGTTTGATTCCTCTTTTTTTTTATCTACTCTAACACTAAGGCCTGTGGATCTGCCTACTGAAAGAAATGGCAACTATGCACTCCATGCTGCCACCAGCTCAGTATGCTCTGAGTGCACTGCCCTGCCTCCTTCCTGACACATCAAAACTTCTCACTGAAGTTACTCATGGTCACTGTGCTCCCCAAATACTTTCCAGTCTTGACTATCCTCCCTTGCTAAAACTTCCTTGGTTTCTACGATACTATACTCTCCCTTCTTGTAGCTTTCTCATTGTTGTCCTGTCCCTTCATGGATTCTTTTCCCTTTGCCCACCCCTTATATTGGGAGGCCCTTGAGTTTCCTCCTCTAACTCATTTGTTGCTGCTATTCTGGCTATTCTGTAGTCTCTCTGCAGGCACTTTCGTCCATTTTCATGACTTTAAATGACACTTCCTTGCTAAAGAAGCCAAAACAGCCAGGCCAAACCTCTCTCTCCAGGACTCCAGCATATATATATGTATATGTATACACACCTTCAAAAATCTCAAACTGAATTTCTCACAGTTTTATCTTTCTCACTCATCCTCTACAAGTGATATTCTATCTAAAATGCAAATCTGACCACTTTACCCCTGCTGTAAGGATGAAGTCCAGGCTCCCGGGCTAGAAAAACTAGACCTGTCAAGAGGTTTTCTCTCTTCTCTCTCCGGCCTTATCTACTTCCCACTATTCTGGTCTCTCTTCAGCAATACTAGGTAACTAGACTTGCCTACATACCTCATGCTTAAACTGGTTAACTCTTTCTCATCCTTCAAGGCCCAGCTCAGGAACCTCTTTTTTCAGAGGGTCTTCTCTTACTACTCCCCTTTCACCCCACAGCTCACGGCGGTTCTTGATCTCACACCATGTACTGCATTATATGGAAAAGGTCTGTTTACAAATGTCTTAGCTCATCTGACTAGAAGTTTCTGATGTTGCTTCACATCCATTTCTCTATTGCCTCCACTCCAGTCCTCAGAAACTCTAATCTGGATTCTTGCAAATGGTCTTGCCTCCACTTTCTACCCCCTCCAAGTCATTGCAAATATCACTGCCAGATTAATCTTCCCAAAGCACGTATCTGACTGTGTATTTCTCCCCCAGTCCAAAAGCTTTAATGGTTTCCTTTTCTCTACCATAGCAGTTCCCAAAGAGTGGAACACACACCACTTAGGAAATGATTTTAGATGGTACATTGGAGTGGCATTAAATGATTCTGGACCACAGAATAGAAATTTCCCTTTATCAGTTTTCTTTCAGTTCTAACTATGTCAGGGAGAAAGCTTGAACATGTATCTCATCCTTGATAAACTCTTTT